TTAAATTGTTATTAATTGAATTGAGAGTCAAAAGTGTGTAAGTGTGTGTGCGTGTGGTACAAGTTTTAATTGGATTGCCAGCTTATCTATATGGAGATTAATAGATTGTTTTTTATTGAATAACAAAAAGTACAAAATATGATACTTAAAGTAGTACACAGATCCTAAATATACTTGCCACAAAACACCGTCAGAGATGAAGAAACTTTGGAATAAGTCTGAAGATTAGTAAAGATTAATGCAATCTTAAATATTTCAATTTAGTATACAATATATTTTTGGTTATTCTGATCTCAAAGGGGTCTTATCAAATTACGCAAGGAAACTCTATAAAATGCCACTTCACGGGATCTTGGGAATCTCGTTAAAGATATTAAACGGCATATGGTAAATATTTGTCATGCAGCCACTCAAGAGCACACACACTTAGATGATATAGGGATTCATTTCGCTCAGCTATTCATAAGCAATATTATTCATATATACTTATATGTATATATGTATATGTTTATGGGCAAATCTTATCACCCTCGCGCGAAATGTGTTGATCTGGCGAAAAAGGCTTGTCATTGTCATTGTGGGTCATTCGTGTGGAAATCGACAGCATTTCAATAATTCTTTTTATTGCACGAGAACTATGCACAAACACGCGCAGTTGAATGCCTAAACACAATGCATAGAGACAGCATAGTTCATGTTGTTGTTGTTGTTGTCGTTGTGTCTCACTGAGATACAAAACAATTTCAATTTATGCTCGAAATGCACCCAAAAAAGGACTGAGCGCCCGAGTGTTTATTAAATTGTTGCGCCATGGTCTGAAAAGGGGTGAGAGTTCAGGGTTCGAAGAGCAGAGAACCTCAGGCCAAAGGCGGCTGAGCGCCGGGGCGGGCCGGGCCGGGCCGGGCCAGGGGGGCACCTTTATTAATTTGGACAATGTAATGCGCCATCGTCAAGCCGGCCATAAATCTGGGCAAACGAGCCAGGCGACATGTGAGTCCTTCAACAAAAGCCATTGAAATGCGTATGAAATGAAATGCCTCAATTCAGGCCAAAATAAAAAAAAATAAAAAAAATAGAAAAAAAAAAAATAAGAAAATATCATCACATTTTTCATGTGCTCATGCTGTGCATTCATTCAACCATTCCACAAAACGAAAATATCGAGCGAAATTACTCACGAAAAATAGTCAAATATGAAACCAAAAATATTTCATAAATTGAATTGTTTTTTGCATTGTTTTCCATGTCAGAGGCGAGCGTATTTTGGTTTTCTATCCAAAAAGACAACAAGAAATAAGAACAATTTATATGCAATGCTGAACTAAATGGGTTTTTCATACATGATTTATAACGCATTTAGAATAGACTGACTAAAAACAAACTAGAGAAAACTAAGACAGAGTGAAAGAGAGAGAGAGAGAGAGAGAGAGACGCAGGGCGAGCGATTATTAGATTAAATACTTGTACAGACCTAGCTTACGTGTTTAATCACAAACTAAGCTGATAGCTTTTATATTAAGTTCAAATCGATTTTTCTCGCCATGAGAGTCGAAGTTCGTGTATGGAAATTCTTTATTTCAAAGAAATTAAAGCGCAACAAAACTTTAAATCTATTATAATTTTACTACATACATACACTTTTATCATAACTATATATAACGGTTTATGGTTATTTAAATATGATAAATTATGTTACGCTGAAATAAATTGCGAGGAAATGCTTCACAGTTGCCAAATTGTTGGCAAAGATTTGCACAGGACGAGCGAGATTCAGCCGCAATCAAAGCCGCAGAGCGCGGCAAAGGTTCGTAAATTTGTGGCACGACTTTGGTGTGTGCGGCTGACACCCGCCACGCCCCCAGCTGCCCTGTTGCCCTGTCGTCCTGTCGCCCCCATCTGCCTTAAGGGCGAACATTTTAAAATCGGCGAGCGACAAGCGAATTGAATTTAAATTTGCTGATTATGCGGCCCAAACGCCACTTGGCCGGGTGCTCAAGTAGTGCGAATAATGGTTATATTGAGCCATAAAAGAAATTAAGTCAAACATTATTTTTAGCTGTAACCAGGCCCGTCCCTGGCCGTACACTGTGCTACATGTGCCGCGGGTCGAACAACTTTCACCACCTTTTTGAGCTCGACGAGGTTTGGGCAACAATATTATTGATACATCGTCAGCTTCTCAATGGATTGTAAACGCATTCTGAAGAGTCAGGCGACACGGGGTGTCCTCGCTCTCTCTCCCCCTCTCTCTCTCTCTCTCTCTCTCTCTGCATATACAATATATATCCTATCTATAGGCTATCTGCGACGCATATTACAATATTTCAACATACTTTCAAGTGTTGTTTGATGCGGCCCCATGCGCGGCTTACAGATGATTTTCTGGGATTTACGACGCCAGCTTTCAGCTAAAATTGAGAGAAATTTTACAATCTGCGCTGCGGGCGGGCGTCAGGAAGTTGTTAAATTACTTAGAAGCTGTGGCGTTGCTTCTCTCATTTTATATGTAATTTAAAAATGATTATTACATAAGCTCCGAGGCAGCTTGGCGAAGGGGGAGGTCGAAATCAATGCATAAATTAGAATTTCGCCTGATCTTTATTGTTATTCAAATGCCGGCTCAAATGATAATGATTGACTGGCACTTGCGACGCCTAAGCTGTCAATAATTCAAACCATGTGCTGCCAGCTACTGTCCTTAATGCCCGCTCATTAAGTGAAAAGGGAGTATATTGGTTTGATAGAATATACCATCGAATCAAACTTCGTGAAGAAGTTTGAAATATGTAATCGTACCCGCTGATGTAGAAGTTGGAATTGGAGTTGGAAGCATAATCAAGCCGAGCGCTGAGCGAGCGAGAGAAGCAAGGAAAGAGAGAAGAGGGAACCTATAGACAAAATGAATAATCATAAATCTTTACAAATGTATTTATTTTGCATCCTTAACGAGTATCAGGCAGTTGTGCACTTCTCGTTCTTCTTCCCTGACAACCGCCAAAGGTGGCTAATAAAAAATAAAAATAAAATCGGAAGCGCGATGATGCGGCCTGTCGATTTCCCAGGCGAGTTACGCTAAGCCGCTGAAGTTGTGCAGCTGTAATTAGACTGAATTCGTATTCAAATTCAATTCATTTGCTCACTTTGGCAGCTGAAGTGCGCTGTGTGGCAGACAGGCAGGTAATCCTGTAAGAGCAACCTTGCTCTGCCAATTCTGACTTGCTTTAATTTGCCAACTCGGTAGTCGGGTCTGTGCATGATATTTTCATAGGGCACGCTGTTAATTTAATGTAAACTTTGTGGTCACGTGCCGGAACTGCTCCCAAATGTAACTAAAATCAAAGCAAACTACACACACACACATGTGTGAGTGTGCGCGTATATGCGATTCACAAGTGTTTTGTCATTTAAACGCGTTTTATGCTCAAAATGACCAGCAACAAAGGCTGCAGGCGCGGCACTCATATAGATCCCAGGTCTATTGCCAAGGGAGCTCTTACACTTGTGTCTTACAATTGGTGGTATTTTACCCTAACTGTGGGAACCGAACCCGAATCAACCCTGTGTGCACAATATAAATATGAACAACTGTACCTACGTCGACATATCGTTCATGTAAATGGATTTTGAATTGCATTTACATTGCTAGACAAATAAATAGAAAACTTGTTATTATTATATATATATATTATAATCCACATATTCGCATAATTGCAGTTTTTTAACATAACTAAAATATATTGTTATAAATATTATTTGCATATAGTTCAATAGAAATTGTATATTTATCACACTTTTCGGAAGAGTCTGCTCTGAACTTACACTTTTTTTTTGTGATGTCACAATGCTTGAAAACCTGAGGGTATAGGCTATTGACGATCTATTTCATGATTTATTGGTATTGTATTGCATAGCAAATCTAGTTTAAGGTAAAATTAGAAATGAGTGTTATTGAAGCATATAAAACTATATTATATCACTTTTGTAGAAACACTTGAGCTGCTCCTAGATACTAGATTGATAAAAATGTTTGTAATATTTTTATTTTTAGTGCCTATATTAAACATTCATATATTTGTTCACAAAGCTGATTTACATAAATAAATAACTAATTTTAAATATATTTTTGGTAGGAACTTCTTAAATTCTCTTTAGCCTCTAACTGTGGTTGCCACATTTACAGCCTTGCATTTGAATGGTGGCATCTCGAGCATGTTGTCCAATGCGCTCCTAGAAAGTTCATAAATGTTGTACATATGATGTATGTGTAGTATATATGTCAAAGGCCAACTTACAATTCGTTTACCAAGTCGCTTCCTGCAAAATGGCCAAAATCGATAAAGCCAAGATGAAAGTTTGTGAAAGTTAATGTCAAATTTGCAGATATTTCTATATCACTAGAAATTGCTTAACTGATGATCGACTCGGCTAGTAACAGAAGCTTTTATACCCAAAAGCCTAAAGCGTGATTTTGTTTCAATGGGGATTTTATTTGGTCAAAGATTGCAGTGTTTAAATAAATCATGATTGATGAGTCATGGGAAAAGTCTGTTGGAGCCATAGGATAATTTTGGTTAGAGAGTTTATTAGAACTCAAATTTTATTAAAATTGAGCGTAAATTGAATACTGTAAACTGAATCATTGGCGTATTTCCTGGAATTTACTCTTTGAGCGAAACCCTGTTTAGTTTGAAAATTAGTTCATTTTAATTAGTAATCATTGCGAAACAGGTTCCATAATAAAACTAAAGTGACTAATATAATGAACTTAATGTTAAAATCAAGTTTACCAAAAACAGTTGTAGAATATTCCTTTATTTTTATGAAACTCAAAACTCCAACTGATAAGTGACAAAGACCTGGTAGTGTATATATTTCAATATATGCTGCAATAAGATATTTTCATGTCGGAGTATGTGGATAGAGATGTGGTCAAGTGGCTACTACAGTTAATAATAAATCAATATTAATTTTGTTCTTTTTGTTTAATGTATTCACAGTATTTATTATAAAAGTCTTACAATTATGAAATAAATATAATTAAAAAATAAATAATAATAAATTCTATATACAATTAGCCCCTGGCTGTGGCCGCTACGTTCGCTGCTTGTTGAGCTATGCCCAAGACCTGAATGGTGGCATCTCGTGTGTGCTGGCCAATGCGTTCCTATGAGGATAAATCGTTAATAATTAATGTGATTCAATTTGATTTTAGTTGTTGGAGACTTACAATTTTTTTGCCAATCTTCTTCAGCCAACCAGCCTCGGATTGACCCACGCTCATTGCCAGGATGAGCGCAACAAAGATGAAGATCTTGTAAAAGTTCATGTTGAGGCTGTATTATTAAAGTATATTCCTTGGAAGTTGGGTGAAAAGACTTGAGGAGGTTGAGTAGCACTAGCTGCTGCTGCTGATGCCGAGTGACTGATGAATTGTGTAGTCAGCCAGCATCTCTTTTATAGCTCGTATGGGTCGACGCCACTGATAAGCTTCACATCTCAAAAAAGAACGGCGGCTGAACGCACGAGGGGATTTTATTTGGCGAAAAATCACACGATTCAAAACCAGGTCCGCCATGGGAACATGCGATGGTATGGTATGCTATATTTATGAAATATATCTATGAATCATTCAAGCAATAAAGTGTTTTTTAGTGTTTTTAAATGTGTAAATGTATATCCCATGAAAACAAATCAATTTAGAAAGACTATTAGTAAGATAAACATATTTTGCTCTCTCTCTCTTTTTCTCTCTCTCTATCTCTGTCATTCTCGCTTTCAATGATTCTGTCTCCCTTTCTTTCTCTCTATGTCTATCTCTCTCCCTCACTCACTCTCTGTCTCTCTCTCTCTTCTCAATTAGCCAATCGGAATTAAACTCTCGTGTCAATTGCTTTAATTTCGGGTATCCACTAGAGGGCTGCACGGCCGCCTTCATAACATAGCAAAATAAAGTCCACTCGTATTGAGACTAGATACTATCGACCTACCTATCTATAATATTTGAGAGCGTGACATAAAGGCAACAAATAATTAAGAGAAAAAATTAATAAATTTATGTTTTTCTAAATTTGAATAAATTAATCTATGTATCTATGGTGATAATATCATTGATTACGGATATATATTGTGTATATATAAATAAACATATATACGTATACATGAATGTAAAAATATGTATATAACGAGTGCAAGGAAAGTGATGCTAAGACTGAATTCAATTGCATCTACATTAGTTGCCATATAAAAGGCGACGAGGTGCTGAGCAACGCTAGCTCATCACTATAGTAAGCATGGAATTTATGGAATGATCATGCACTAGAATGCATTGAGCTTAGTTGAGTTTGTCCAGGAAGCTCAAGGCCGCAATATGAGCAAATAAATACTTAATAAATGCCTTTTGGAAGGTGCTACAGAGAAAATTAAATGTCATTGGTTGTTTATTTTTATATATATATATATATATATATATATATATTTATAGTATTTATTATTTAAAGTCTTAGAATAATAAAATAAATAAGAATTTTTATTGAATAATAAGAAACGTTGCATTAGCCCCTGGCTGTGGCAGCCACGTTCGCAGCCTGCTGGGCAATGCCCAAGCCCTGAATGGTGGCATCTCGTGTGTGCTGGCCAACACGTTCCTTTAAAGACAGATATTTTAATAAATATTTTGTTTTGATTTTAGTTGTTAGAGACTTACAATTTTCTTGCCAATCTTCTTCAGCCAACCAGCCTCAGATTGACCCATGCTGATGGCCAGGATGAGGGCAACAAAGGTGAAGATCTTGTAGAAGTTCATGTTGAAGTTGTAGTATTGATGTATATTCCTTGGAAACTGGGAGTTAAGACTTGAGTTGTAGGTGCTGCTGCTGCTGCTGCTGATGCTGAGTGACTGATGAATTGTGTAGTCAGCCAGCGTCGCTTTTATAGCTCGCGTTATCTATACAGGCGCTGATAAGCTCTTAGGTAAAACACGGAACAGTGAATGGATGGATGAATTAGGGGATTTTTCGACGTGAAAAACACCCGGTTTAAATCCAATTCTGTTGTCACAAGCTCAATATGTAAGCTTCGTATGGTATTTATGTATTTGTAAATCATTTAAACAATAAAGTATTATTAGATTGTCAAATAAATCTGTATTCCATACAAGCTGTAAATTCAGATTGATTATTGTGAAGTCAAAAATATATTGAGTAATTCGCAAATTGAAAACATTTTCAATCAAAGTTCAGTCTCGTGACTTTATACGCTGTGCTTTATGAGAAGTTCAAGTGCTCGAGTGGAGTAAAAAAGGTTAAGCGAATATAAATAATTTTAGTTCAGCATTCGATTTTCTTCATATCCACTTTCAATTATCGTATTTAGATTCCATTCACCGCAGATCAAAAGTCAGACCATTGGTATACAGACCATACAGAGCGAGGTACTAAAATTAATAACAAGCTTACTTTTCTTTTTATTGTTTCTACAGTGTTTAATATGCTCTTAATGTAGCGGGTTGTCCATTTCTTGGTTTAATTACACTGACCACTGTATTGGTTACCTCTTTAATCTTTTCCCAGCCAGCGACGTAGATATTTTTAATAGACTGTCCAATATTTTTCTATAAAAATAAACCATTGATAAGTAAGTTGTTTTGATTTGATTTAAACTGTTGGATACCTACAATTTCAGTGACAGTCGTATTAGCAAGACCAGCCTCGGATTGACTCATGCTGATGGCCAGGATGAGAGCAACAATGATGAAGATATTGTTGAGCTTCATATTGGTCTTTGGCGTATAGAAATATTCCGTGTACTATGAAAGTTGTGACTTGAACTAGACACAAGTCACAATATATGTGCCTTAAAAACTAAAACCTTTGCCATCAGTTAGGTGCTTTGAAAATCTATTTGGACCGTCAAATGTGTCTAATTACTAGTAATCCAATTAAATTTATCTGAGCATGGCATAACGAAATAGACCGAAAATTCTCAATTCACATTCTCTTTTTCTCTTTCAATCTATTGATCGAACTGGCATAGGAATGCGCTGTGATCGGGTTACAACCAAACATTTTCGTCATGTCATCAAGACAACGGGGAATAATAAAATTATAAACAGAAAAATCAGTTTTTGCATTTTGACGTCTTAAAAGTGCATACAAAAGGCATTTCTACAATAATTATTAATGGATTCGGAATAGGTTTAACCTTTGACAACTTCTTTCGTAACTCGCTGAGCAATATTGCAACCTTGGAGGGTGGCATCTTGATATGTTGACTAGCATGTTTCTTTAAAGTTACATACATATATGTATATTCATAAGTAATTTGCTTTAATTTGATTTTGTTTCTTAGAGACTTACTATTTTCTTGCCAAGATCATCCAGCCAATTAGCTGTGGATTGACCCACGCTGAGGGCCAGGATGAGCGCAACGAAGATGAAGACCTTCAAGTTCATATTTAATTTTCCGTGGAATCTAAAAGTTGAGACTAGAGTTATAGATGATGGTACTGAGCCAATGACCAAAAAATAAGTCCCAATGCATGTATGTATAATTTAATATATATATTTTATTTGTTTGCAGCTTGAGATTCAACTAACGCTATTAAGAACGCCAAATGTGACTAATTAATGCAAAGTAAAATCAAATTTATTCAAAGTTGTACGCTAAATTCAAGCATGGCTTGGACAAGTAGGTTGTCCAATAGAATTACTAGGTATTTCTATACATTGTCTCCTTCTCTCTGACATAATCGAATACAAACAGTTGTGTTTAAACTAAATATTCATGTAATTGAAGCTGTGAGATTTCGGAAAATAGTGTTTATGAGAGTCAATGATGGAAAACAAATCATAGTAAATGTGTATTTCAGTTAAAAGATGGAACCCTATTAAAAACGCCAATTGTGACGAATTACTGTAAAGCAAAATCATATTTATTCGACTTAGTAAACAAATGTCAAGCCTGACATAACAAAGCTTTGCCAAGTAGTTTGTCCAACGGAAATTCTATATATTCTCTCTCACCTAATTAGCCAGACTGATTGAACTGTCATACAAATGCGCTTCGATCGGGTAACCACCAAACATGTTTGTCATGCCAGCAAAACAGCTAAAAATTGGGTGAAATACAAATTTCTACTATAAATTGAGTTTATGAATGAAATTTGTTCGTGGGTTTTTCAGAGAATACAATTCTTGAATTCTGACTACAACTGGGGAATACTTGTATGTAGTATATATGAATATGTCGCTGATCCGATCGGGCTGCCGATAATGATAATGACGGATCACTTGAGCGAGCAAACACGCACGTCATAAAGAATCAGTAAAAGCAGGTTTTTTGTTTGAGCTTGCCTTTTGCTTTTGCTTTTGTTATATTCGCTGATTGCTGCTGTTGTTGTTGTTGGTGTTTCTCTCTTTGTCGGCGTTGCCATCGCGCTTTATCAGCGCATCAGCCCCAGTTATCAGCTAAATTCGCTGATTGCTCTGCTCTTCTGTGTTTTCTAGAAGAACTGTGTACTGTGAATCCCAAATGGTTCGATTGACAGAAAAATTCCCCGCATCAGCCTACAGATAGCACCTAAGTAAACCTCTACAAGTTCACTACAAAAAGCTACCTGATTAATATGGAGCTAAAAAAGTGCAAACATACTAAACAATATATGTATGTATATGTAGTGTATCCATATTTGTACACATGTTAAGCACCACTTAATTGCAGCTACAGTCTGTGCTTGTATAAGAAGGTCACAATGGCTTGTTTTTTATGCACTTGAATTTAGTTGACTTAGACGTTAGAGTGCATTTAATGAATAGTATATCTGAAAGTTCTTGGATCTTCCTTATGACTAAGCCCAATTTACGTTTGACTATGCCAATTGCAACAACTTTATGATATTTGGTTAACTCATCTTCTCATCTTGTATTATCACTTAACTGCAGCTTTATAGACTATTAAGTGGGCTGCCCTAATTATACTCAGTTTCACTGCGAAATTTTCTTATCAGTTAGCAAGAGAAATGCCGTTTTATTATATATATGTATATATATTTCTACGAATGTTATATGGACTAAAAATAATATAAAGTTTAATTTTAAATCAACATGAATATTATTGTTGTTTTCGTGTTCTCTCTCTTCTTACACAGTATGACAAAAATAACTCGACTAAGGTATAATATTGAAAGCTCTTCTTCTTTATCTTAAGAAGATTTGGCTTACCTTTAAGTTGGTTTAAAATTATGTATGTGTAAAACTTTTAATATTATTAGAGAGGGGTTTTCAGTTTTTTAATCTAAAAAAATACTTCTTTGGAATCAAGAAAGTTTTATCAAGTAAATATATTATAAAACGAATCAACGAGCTGGAAATAAAGTAGACTCTCTTGATTTCCACATATTCCAATTTCTATCCTAACTGGTACAACTTCATATCTCATTGTATCTCTGTATATCTCATTGTCATACCGGTGCCTAACGCCCATTATTTTCATCAGGCCACAAAAAAAACATCTGCAACTTTCATATGACCCTCTCCCATTTTATGCAAATAGCTGGCAACAAATAAAAACCAGTTGCATTTATTGTCTTATTTACGCTTCTCTGGGCGCTCAAAGTCTTTAACAGGGACATGAACAGCATTAAGTCAAACTGTGCAGCTGGATCGCAGTCAGAGTCGCCGTCGGAGTCGGAGTCGATGTTTTCTCTAGGCTTTGGGGCTGTTATGACAGAGGCAGAGCTCTGGATGTTGCTTGTGCCTGTCACTCAGCGGTTAATTCGAGCGATTTTATTTACATTTTAGCAACAGGCCGCAGCAGAAACAGCAGAAAACCGGAAAGGAAATGAAGGGAATGGAAAGGGGAGAAGGCAGTAGAGAGAGCCGCGTTGCCTTGGAAATGCTTTGAGTTTGATTTTGGCGAAAGTCAAGACCGAAGCGTTTTTACTTGTTAAGGAAATTAGTGGCATATCCTGACAGTGGGCACATCCTGCTGCTGATGTCCCATGCTGCCCACTGTTGACTTAATTCATTGTCCTTGTCTTTGACTCGGTGGTTGATATAGTACAAGAGCCGCTGCCACGCCCACACGACCAATAATACTAATGGCAGACGAGTACAGTTGCATCACTAGTAAACAGAAGAATTCCAATTGGATAAAAACACATATCCACAGCTGAGCAAACAACACGATTCTTATTAAAAGTGCGCATATAAGAAAATAAGTATGTTGAATAAGAATACGATTTCTATTACAAATTATTTGAAACTTTCACAGCTTCAAGTAAAAGTCAAAGTCAAATTTCTACTGGATTTTTCCAATTTTAGTTTTCATTTTGACTATTAACTTGGGCCTAATGTGAATGCACTAGGTTAGGGAATTCAAAATTAATGAAGAATTGATTAAATAGTATTATTATGGTTATTGTTATAATTATAATTGTTAATATATTTAATAGCTTATGCAGCCTTAGTAAGGCTACAAACTAGAAAATTTATTTTCCTAAGAATCTAATATAATAAGGCAACATAACTCTAGCTCAATATATTTTTCAATAGCGCACAGGTTTAAAATTTGTATACCTTGTCTTTCTTTCATTTTTTTTTCTTTAATTCTGGAATATTTACCTGCGGGAACACAAATACTGAACACACCTCACATTGCTCTGTTTACCAAACAAATTCCCCGCCGTATTGTTGCGTGGAGAGAGTTATCAGCCACGTCGACCCAAACGAGCTATAAAAGAAACTCCGGCTGGCTGCACAATCCATCAGTCACTCAGCATCAGTAGCAAAAGCTACAGCTAAAACTCAAAACTCCTTTAAAACGAAATAGAATATTTCTATATACCACGCTTCATTATGAACTTCTACAAGGTCTTCATCTTCGTTGCCCTCATCCTGGCCATCAGCATGGGTCAATCCGAGGCTGGTTGGCTGAAGAAGATTGGCAAGAGAATTGTAAGTTTCTAATAACTATAATCAACTTGCAACATATTATTTATTACCGAATTATCCTTATAGGAACGCATTGGCCAGAACACACGAGATGCCACCATCCAGGGCTTGGGTATAGCTCAACAGGCAGCAAACGTCGCGGCTACAGCCAGGGGCTAAACCTATATAAAATTTCAGATTATTGAGTTTAAAAATATATTTTCATTACCTTTTAAGACTTTTATAAATAAATATTTAAAGTACAAACATAAACCACAGATCTTCTTATTGACTGTAGTACCTACTTGAGCTTCTCTCTATATACATATTATGCAATACACATTTTGTACATTGTCTATTTGCTCAACTGGAGCTTTCTATAAAGATTGAATTTGCCTTAGTTTATTCACATAGCTCAGTCTGTGGCTCTTAGTTGCGGCAGAGCCCAAAACACAGCTAACTGAAGTAACGAAGCGTTAATTTGGCGTGTCCCCCTTCTATTCGGATCTTATAGTACTGCGGGTGGCATGCTCCAGCGTCAACTTAATTGTAAGCTCCTTCATTATTCTAACGCGTTTTAACTTTTACTTTATTTATTATTCATAAATATACACACTTGATACAAATATACATACACATTATAGAATAATATATTTTAATAAAATGATGACTCCTAAGGACTTAATGCACATTTTGAGGAAGAAAAACATTTATGTACATATTTGTTGTACAAATTTTTATTTCTTTCAGTTATGTCGTTTTATTATGTTATGTTGGCAAACATGCTTGGTGAATACCCGATAAAAAACAATTGATATGACCGTTCAATCAGAGGAGCTAATAGGGAGAGAGGGAAACACCCGAATTTTTGGCAACCTTTATTGATTTTTTTTTGTTTGCAATTTTTCAATACCTCAACATTTTTCTACCCAACAAAAAAACTCGCTGATGACAGTTTATTATTAAAAAAAAATATTTTTTTTTTTTGAGAATGTAAATTTATTTAATGTATATAAAAATGCTTAATTGTTTCTATGAATCATGCATACATTTCTTATACGTAGTCTTTCCTACCATATACGCTTTGTTACAAACAGACTTGGATTTTGTCAGTGTACTTTTTCACCAAACAAAATCCCCGAGAGCGTTCAGTCGTTGTTCTTTTCGAGATGCGAGGCTTATCAGCGACATCGACCCATACGAGCTATAAAAGCGACGCTGACTGTCTACTCAATACATCAGTCACTCACCATCAGCCGCAGCAGCTCAACCTACTCAAGTCTTAACTCCCAGATTCCAAGGAATATACAACAATACTACAACCTCAACATGAACTTCTACAAGGTCTTCATCTTTGTTGCTCTTATCCTGGCCATCAGCATGGGTCAATCCGAGGCTGGTTGGCTGAAGAAGATTGGCAAGAAAATTGTAAGTCTCCAACAACTAAAATCAAATCAAAATATAGTACTCATAAAAATATGTATCTTTAAAGGAACGTGTTGGCCAACACACACGAGATGCCACCATCCAGGGCTTGGGCATCGCTCAGCAGGCTGCGAACGTAGCCGCCACAGCCAGGGGCTAAACCTATAAAGAATTCCTTAATTATTGTAGAAATTATGTACATATATTTATTTCATTATCATAAGACATTTTTAATAAACTTATAATAAAATCAAAAAACGATAACTAATAATTTATTTATCATGGCTATTAGCTATACTCCTAGATCCTAGACTAGTGGGCTATGCAGTAAGATTTTATAGTGATAATATTAGTAATAATATTATTAATATAATATTAATATAAGCAAATAATAATGTAATAAAAATAATATTTGTTTGCACTTTCATATACTTATATTACTTAGTTATTAGAGAAATTTTTTATTAAGTGGATTATCTTTTTTCGCAAACATTCGCTTGATAAACTTTACAAGAGAATTGAATGAGTTTTGTAGGAAGTGCGCTTCGGATTGATCCATGTAGATGAGCAGCAAGAAGGAGCACAGGCCGAGAATAGTGACGTAGTTCATTTTGCGCTCTGGCTGGAGTTGCTCCTTATATTGAATTGAAATTTATTTATATAAGGCTAATTCACATCAAGTTTTCAGTTCAATAGCCTTTTGAAAAGTATGTAAGCTTCAAAATATCTTGGATTTTTATAGCAAAAATTTAGTTAGAAGCCAGCAACTTTATTTGATAAACAGACAACAGCTGCCTTAACTAACAAATGTTTGGATAAGCATATAAAATGCCATTTAATTGACAGCTGTTTTTTAAATTTTAATAAAAAGAATGCATTCAAATTTATACTTATTGAGATTGTAAAATTTAACTTAAACAAATTATTTCATATAAATTTTATATTTTTCCATTCATTACATTACATTTGCTTTTGTTAATTTCAAAAATCTTTATTTAAATACATAAATTCAAAAGTAATTTAATTGCACGTGAGCGCCATCTAGTGGGCTTGCGCACAACCTAACCGTCTGCCGCTAGCTTCATGTGGAAAGCAACCCTGCGCATCGATGACGTTTTGCACAGTTCAGTGTCAAATCGACGACTTCCTTTCCTGTCAAAATAGTCGACAAAGGTTGGTGTACATTTTCTGTGAATGCTTTGAAAAAGCCGAAAAACCGGCACAACATGCAATGCAAAGCCAAAAATGAATGGTAAAACAAGTCAATCAAATGCTGCCAACGAAATTGGCTTAAGTTGCTAAGTGAAAACCATTGAAACCAAGTCGATGCTCAGTGATTTGCTAAAAGGTTAAAGGCAACTGAGTGAAATGAACAATTGAAGTATTGGCTGGGCAGCGGTCTTGTTGTGTGTTGCCGTTTTTCGCAGCAGTGAATCATAATAATATACTAAGCGACTCTTTTCATTCACTTACAGATGGCTATCGGCTCTAAAATTATTAAGCCCGGCGGCGCGGACCCCGATGATTTCGAGAAGTCGATCGCCCAGGCGCTCGTTGAGTTGGAGGCCAACAGCGACCTGAAGCCCTACCTGCGCGATTTGCACATTACTCGTGCACGCGAGATTGAGTTTGGCAGCAAGAAGGTGAGTTTTGCTTGTTTGTGTTTATATTTGAAATAATTGTTTTCTTTTCCATGTGTGTGTGTAGGCCGTCATCATCTACGTGCCCATTCCACAGCAGAAGGTGTTCCAGAAGATCCAGATCATTTTGGTGCGCGAACTGGAGAAGAAATTCTCTGGCAAGCATGTTGTCGTCATTGGCGAGCGCAAGATTCTGCCCAAGCCAACGCGCAAGGCGCGCAACCCACTGAAACAGAAGCGTCCACGCTCGCGCACTCTGACCGCTGTGTACGATGCCATTCTGGAGGATCTGGTATTCCCCGCCGAGATCGTTGGCAAGCGCGTCCGCGTCAAGCTTGACGGCTCTCAGCTGGTCAAGGTGCACCTGGACAAGAACCAGCAGACCACCATCGAACACAAAGTAAGCATTTTACTGATTTATAAGCGAGTTGAAATAAAACTTAATTTGTATGTTGTCCCCGTGTTATTTGCGGCACGTTCATCAAGCGCCGTGATTGTCAAAGGGGACACATATCAAATTAGCCAATAACTCGTTATTGTGCTCCATTCACGCATTCCTGCGGGCGCACATCTCCATATATTGGCCACATTTTCAGTATTGTTTACATTACCGTTCTTGTGTTATTCGCTGAATTTGTACTCCCATTCAGCGATTGTCAAACAGAACGCACAGAAAATTCCAAGTCAGCGGAATCCACATTGTTGAGCCTATATACAACAAGGCTTCTACATTACTAATTCCTGGCCACATTCTATTTAATTATTTGTTCACCTATGATCTAAGCTGTTTATCATTATCGACCTCCCTCCCGTTCTTGTGTTATTCGCTGAATTAGCATTATCATTCAGTGATTGTCAAACAGAACGCATAGCAAATTCCAATTATCCACGTTGTTGAGCCTATCTATTCAAAGGCTTTTACAATACTAATCACTGGATACAGCTTACTCCTAAACTATATTTTCTATGTATATTGTTTTATGTACTTTCTTGAAATTTCCCCCCGCCTATTTGCCTCCCGAGCGCTGTTTTTGTGCCTGGTGCCTCGGGACTTCCTATTTCGGCGGCAAATCAAAAAGACCTACTCAGCGCGTCATTGCTGCAATGCATCATGCTGTAGCAATATGCTGAGCCGTTTAACACTTGTCTAATGCTCTCAGTTATAAATGTTTTATCTATAAAAATGATTGCTAATTTCTATTCGCTCTCTCTCCCTCAGGTTGATACCTTCACATCGGTCTACAAGAAGCTTACCGGCCGCGATGTTACCTTTGAATTCCCAGACAACTACCTGAATGTCTAAGAGTGTTTTCCACTGGCAATGTCGTCGTCGCCGTTGCGCTGTCGTTTAGTTTCAACAAAAGGAATTCTGTCGTACAGAAGTTATTTTTAACATGCAAATGAGCTGAAAGAACGCGCGACGTCAACTAAATAAAATCAGTAAACATTTTTAAAAATTTAATTAATGAATTGATATTTTGATTTTCGTTGCACTGGATACGATTGAACGTGTATTAGATTAACTGCTGAAACATGAATTGTAATTTAATCTTGTATGGAGAGAGCGTCTCATTATAAGGATAATTTATAATTCCTATTTTCATTTACACACATCAAAGTGGGCGTGGCGTACATGTGTGATTAAAGGACGTTCGATAAATTAGAAGCCAACGCCTTGCGTGGAATATCCTTTTGAGCGTCGCTCGCGCATTTCCCCAGGCTACGCGGCGTTGCATATGTCTGACTGGGAGGCCTTTAATTAAAAAGTGTATTTATTGGATTCACTTTGTAACTGTTCTCGTTTGATATATACCCCAGCCAACGCACACACACGCTTACACGCATTTGTGGCAGCGATGCGTGAGATCCTTTTGCCACACATGTGCGAAAAGGGGTTAATCCTGCGGCCGACTAGGTCTACTTTTCCACTCGACTCGGCTCATTTACATGCGCCGCTTGTAATTACAGGACCTGTGGGAATCGGTAATAAATATTTGGAATAATCACGTGTGTGACATCCAAGAGAAGGGGTTCGTGTGGGAGGGGTGGGTCTTTGTGGAGGGAGTGGGAGTTGACAGGCAAAAGGATTAATGATTTATGCCAAGACAATGAATCCAAACAAGTGTACTAAATACCAACATTTATGATTAAACGCAGATGTTGTATGTTAATTAAATTCACTTTTGTATTTTAACCCTTTTTGTGAGGAATTACATCTATAACTGACTTTGGTGATTGTTAAATAATATAATTATGTAAGTACTGGAAAATGAGCGAGAAGTTCTCTTAACAGTATTTGTCAATGTAGAACAGCATCAAAATGTCATATTTTCTACTTAATATTAGATTTATCTCATTATTAGTATTTACTAAATTTTCTGCAAGGCCCAAAAGAGCTTTCTAAACAAATCTGAATTTTAAGAAATTTAATGTATATGAGTTCTCTCTTCCTTTTTGTAGTAACTGTAAACTACCTTAAGTAACTAACTTTCATTTAGAATTTTTTAAATGATTAAAATAGTGTTTTAAAATCCTTCTAAACCACTTCCTTAAGTTATTATATAGTTATTTAAGATTGTCAAGATATTTTAATTTATTCTTTTAAAACTATTTACAATTACTTTAATATATTTTATATGTTCTATATATATTATCCATGATATACTATTATTTGCGGGCAATCCGAGATATTGGTTTGTAGCTTGACTTAGTTAAAATTCGCCGCATTCCATTGCCTCATTGGTGTGTGTCTTAACTAACCCAATCAAACACACCACATTGGTGGTTGCTTTTACTTAGACGAATAGCCGGAACAACAACCACAATAGCAATTTGAGTTATTTAAATGTTTAGACTGGAAAGCACTATGTGTCAATTCTAAATTTTTTGATATTTTTATATTTTTTTAAATTTATCATAATTGTAAGATCGATCGAGAAGTTGTATTCTCAATATAAATATTAACATTTGCAATTTTAGCGCATAGCCTTAATTTCGGAAATTTTTCGTGTCTCCAGGTTACAGACAAAAAACTGCAGACCACAACAAACCGAATTGATTGCTATTTTGATATTCGATTTAAGTCAACATCAAATCACGCAATACAACAATTTTGAAATGAATTACAGCAAATGCCGCGCATTAATGTTCTAGCTAAAATGGACAGTGGAGCCATGCTTGAACGAACCAACGGGATTAAAGCTTGTTGTGTGAATCAGAGCTGTGGTAAAAATTTGGGAACAAATGTGTATTGAGAAAAAAGAGGAAAACAAATTTAAAGAACATTTTATAGTTTTACATATGTTTAACTAATTAAATTTTGTATATGGTAGAATCCGGCTATAACTACTCCGCTTAAAGCGTCTGTACGGTTATAGCGACGAAATTTCTGATCCCCAGACAAACTTTTATGAACAAACTAATTTATTTGGATATTTTTAGCAATAATTTTGAAATCATATAAAATTGATCTGGAACTTAAAGCTGATGCAGAGTCTCCACTGTACCAACTGACAACAGAAGCCCAACGTCCAGGGACATGGTAGAACACGGGTTTGCCCACGCAATTAAAAAGGTATCCCGGCCACAACATTTTGTGTTACCTTCGCTGTTGTTGTTGTTGTTAATTTCTGTTGTAGTTGGGTGTTTTGATTGATAGTCTAGCAGACAGATAGGCGTATATACTCTGTAGCATTCGATTAGTGCTGTACGCCATTACAATTGGACGACGGACGATGGTTATCGAGCGCACGGCAGGCAAATGACCCCCAACGGGTCAAATCAATTATTCATGTTTGCCCAATTGTGCGGCTGCCATATTATTTAACATCCAGTTTATCGCCAGCTTTATCAGCTGGACTAACTTGGCCGGCTTAGCCTTGGCAAAACGGAGGCGGTATTGGTGACGCATGCGCCTTGACTTTGATAAGCCAAACATCAATTAGAAGTCCACACACATACATACGCCCACACACGTACACCCACACACATTAATACTTATGTAAATTTCCAGCCACTTTCTATGTTAATTTTATTTGGAGCAAAAATATTTATGGCACTCATCCAGTACGAGTTGTCCTTCAGCTATTATCCTGTTTGTTCTGTGGAAGCGAGGGAGGCGGGGCAGGCCTGGGTGGGCTTGAATTATTGACTCACAATTGTGTGAAAATTATGTCATCACATGTTGCTGTTATTGGCAATGGGCGTGCCATGACTCATCTCTGGGTTGCAAGTGCCGAGACTGCACTACTCCATACAGACACAGCCCAATATTCCCTACATATATACCCTACAGAGCCTATATAGAGTGACTAATCTTATCGTCTTATCATTGGGAGGCCCAATTAGTACACTCCTATCGCATGTTTATACCACTGCACAGCTGTGTCAATAGTGTCCACTTTGCTGTGAGGTCTCTGCTCATACCTAAACGAGGTGACCCAGGAATGGGGCGTGGGACGTGGAGTGTAGGGGTTGAGTGTACGCCCATGGTCTGGCCTAAGAGAACTGCAGTGTTACAACGTGCCTTAAGAGGCATAAAAGTATTTGATTACACATTTAAATAGAAATGAATTAATTCAACGGGAGTAGCTGACTGTGTAATACTCTGTAATCAAAAGCTGTTACTAATATGCTACATAAATATCATGATATCAACCCTCGCTCCAATTCTAATATAAGCACGAAAACTAATATCCCCCTTTGCACAGTGTGCAGTGAAGTGTCTCAAAGCGAATGTTGAGTAGACAAAAAAAAAAATAAAATAAAATAAACAATTAAAATCCGTAAGCTTCATTCCTGCCTGCCAAATGCCGAAACTAAACACTTTTGAATTTTGTTTTGTTTTGCTCGATAAGCGTAAAGATACAGCCATTGATCATGGATACACACACACACACACTCGCACACTCGCTAGCTTTGCAACTGTGTAGACTCTACATACATACATTAGTGTAGAGTTGCGCGCTCAGCGTATTCTATATTTATCAGCACGTTGCCATTGGATCATCATTCGCTGCGTTGGCCTACGCCCCCCGCCCCCCAGACACGAGCAAACCGGTTCATAGCAATTTACATATGTTTTTTTTTTCTCATTTCTTAAATTTACATCTTCTATTCATAAATTTATCGTTTTTAAATTTGAATTTGAAGGCTGAGAGAGCACGGAATATGTGAGCTACAAACCTTTCGAACTTGCTCTTATGCTCTGCATTTAAAGATTTTAAAAACTTTTTTACAATATCTGCTTAGGTTCGCTGTGTGTAAACATTTCTTAACTACTTGCCTATGAGCGGCTTATCAGCATTTAACAATTTATTATTTAACACTCCACAGAGATAAACAGCAGCGCAGCTCTTCCGTTTCATTAGCGTCTGGTTTGGTCGTTTTATTTGTATATGATATGAAAGAAACGAAATTTGAAAAAAGCCACAGTCGACGACCACGCGCTACGCATGTGTTGCTAGTCTCTCCACCTAACGATATCTGTGCTCTCCCTCCCACAGACGACAGGGGACACATTCCGCAGACTGCCCAGACGCAGGCGAAGCGCACGCAATGAGAAGCCGATAATCAGCCAGAGTAGGCATCAAACAAATGCGAGAGAGCTGGAGCGAAAGAGCAAGAGCGGCATAGGGAGAGGGAGAGAGGCAACGTGAGTTTGGTTGGCATGGGAAAGCAACAAGCGTGCTTGGGCGTCAAACAGAAAACTGGGTTAGCGTTCGTTCATCACACAGGCAGCGACGCCAGCAGCGACGCGGGTCCGATATTTACGAGCTTTGTCGGCGCCCGATGACGAAATGCCGGCTCTAAAGTAAGGCTGTTGCTCACCCCTAGTCTACAGGCACTCATCGCCCACGCGGAGAGTCAGAGAGGGAGAATGAGTGAGTGAGAGAGAGAGGGAGCACAGGCGAGGCATTGACTTTGAACTACAATTCGCTTGGCGC